TAGTCGTGATGGTAGAATTCCAGTGTACTGCCCAAATTCATCAGTGTACTTATCTCTTATTCCCCATATACAACAGCTAGGAATGATCCGCCTGTTGCCAGCGCCCAACATTATAAATTGTCTGTATGCAGCATGTCGGTTGGACCTGTTCAGATCATCCCCATCATCCACAGCGAGGATATCTCTTCTATATGTGCTTGCTAATGCAAGGACAGCTTCATTAAGGATAAGTAGCTGAAAATCCTAGAGAAAAATAAAATTAGATTAACATGGCACAGCAAACTGTTCTTGCACTGATTGTCCCATGCATTTCCTGTAAAGTATGCACTACAGCATGCAAGGTTTCCTGTAGACCTGTTTTGGGGATGAGCCCCTCCCCCTTCAATAAATAAAAATAAATTGCCCATAAAAATGATGAGAGTTTGATATCCTCACAAACCTGTAACTCCCCTTCCTTCAAAACGTAGATTACAAATATGAAGCAGTTCATTGTTTCAATAATTCAGTCCTCCGGTACATGTGGTCATATGTGTCATATTATTGACATGATTGATTTTTCAACTACACTTACTGGTAGTCCTGAAATGCAGCTTTCTGGTAGCCTCCCACAACATCTCCTCTCCGCTTGTGTGGGCATCTGCCGGCAATTCCTGCAGATACACCATTCAGGATTATTAGTGGATGATGATGGATGATAGCCTTCTAACTGGGCTGATCTTTCCTCAACTAAATTAAAAACAAGACTTGGCTGGTTATCCACCATTTGCATCAAGATCTTGTCTTTTGATTTTATTGGCATTTCTGTTATGATTTTCTAGATGTAAAAAATTATACATGATTACCACATATGTTATGTACATCAGGGTTCCCAAGGAAATGAAAAACAAGATTTCCTGATTTTTCCATGACATTTCCCTGATATATAGTACACAATTTCCCTGATCCTTAACTTGTACAGCCCCCCAATCAAATAGGCATCGAACAACACAATTTTCATTTCTACATACATGTTGGCTTTCATTTTGATGCAAACAAAATGAATATGTTGATTACACTTCCATTCAACAAATTATGAAATTTTGAAGCCAATAAGTGATGAAAACTAAACCATGTACATGCTTTTTACGCAGGTTCTTTTTCAGGCCTTGAAAAATATTTACCACTCTATCTCAAATTCCCTGCATTTTCCCTGATTCTTTGATTTTTTTCAAATTCCCTGATTTTTCCATGCAGGTTTTTTTTTTCAATTTTTTCACTAATTTCCCTGACCTGTGGGAACCCTGGTACGGTACATGTAATTTCATTAATGTGAAATACTTATTTATACTGGTGATGCTTAATTTCCAAAAGTATGCTTTCATTGCATGTATATTTGCAAAAGATAAGGAAAATTAATATTAATCTACCGGTAATACGAATATTTCCTTGATTTTCAAAAAAATTATCTGCTCAAGCTTATTGTCTTGCATACCAAGAAGTCCACAATGACTGTACTGGGTCTCCCTCTGCCGCCTCTTCCCCTGCCAGTCCCTCTCCTTCTAGAAATTATTTTGTCAGCTTCATCCGAACTTGAAGTCTAAGGAAAATAAAAAAGTATTCAAACATCTCTGCCATGAATGGAGCAGGGTACCCCAAACAAGCTCAAACAAGCAGAAACCCTATGACTTTGTCTGCTGAGGCAATTTAAACATTTTGAACAAAACTAATAGCCATACATAAAAATAAGTTGTAACCTTAAAAAAAATGAAAAACTCAACAAGAAATGTTGAAAATAAATACTTGCTTGTATTAAAGACACAATAAGGGTACTATTTATTTCACTGCATTTACTTTGAATTACAAGTATAGCACTATGGCTAATTTATAACTAAAGTTTTCCATTGTGCTAAATTCATCTTTTTAGTCAACCCCTATAACTATAGTTTTACTTTACAAATATTTTTTTTTCAACAGAATGATTGGACAGTCGATGGATGTGCTGTGGAGTGGTGATATGATTTCATTACAGTCAGCCCGAGAGCAAATTGAACAACTAAAAAAAAAAAAAAAAAAAAAACGCAAAATTGAAGGCTGAAAACTTGGAACTTAAGGCACAAGGTAATACAAATTGTTTTTCATTTATATGCTTGCATTGTATTATGTAACTGTAAATTATGTTAGTCCATAATGTACTTTTTCATCATATATTTTGTACCAGTAGTACACGGATATTTTATTCATTTTTTAGACATCTTCATAAATGATTCAATAACAAAATAATATAAAAAATATTTTCAGTCACCACTTTTAATCACATACATTTTGATCACTACTTGTATATGTCCCTGTACACAATGTATCCCTGCGATAAAACAGCTCTTACACGATTTGGTTTTCTCTGCATATTGTTAGAATATGCATAAAATAAAACATGAATATGCATACACCAGTGACATTCCATGATAAGCTAAGGACTTCTTGTGAATAATATGCATCGACATTGTCATGTGATAGGAACTGATTATGCAGTATTTAGTGTATTGTATTTGGTCGAGTCCACTAATCAAGCTTATGCACTATTAATATTTCAGGAAACTGGAGGGGAATTACTTGGATCATCTTAGTGCTCTGTATGAAATTGCAAGGGTTACTGAAAGCAACATAAGTTCAAGCCAATCATGGTCCAGTCTAACAAGTGATGGAAGCCATAACCAGGCACAATCCCCAGTCAGCAGCTTTTATTTTTCACCTTGGGCTAATTCCTCAAGTGGAAATGCAAGCGAAAGTCCCATCATGTCTTGTAGTGAGAATCACATACACTCTCCTGCAGCTACAATTCGATACAAGTCAGAGTATGCCAAACCTAATGTGACACCAGATTTGCCAAGTTGGAATGAAGGAAATGAAAGCCATGGCAACTCATCTCCACAAGATAAACAATCATCATATTCAGATGTGAGTCAATTTTAACATTATAGTAAATAAGTATTATTGTCATTATTATGCTTTCATATATTATATTATATTAAATTAAAGTAATACACATGTATGGATGAAAAGACATTTTCTATTTTAGCCTTATGTGTGTGTAGCTAATAATTTCTTTGCAGATAAGAAAATTTTCACACATTTGTCATGCTTTGTGTGCTTTGATTACCAGTATATCAAATTCTAGCCACTTCCAAGAGGAGAATAAATTACCTTGTAAAATGTTTGATACAATTGCAAATGACCATTTATAGTTTTTATTCATCTCTACAACTGAAATTGACAATTGTGTGTTCTGAAAATCATTTTCTTTATTTTTTTACTTTATATTGTATAGGAGCTTGAATCTATTTCATGCAGGTATAGTACAATTACTAATATGGTGGCGGTGATAGTAACTAGTACATAGTTACTTGTATTTTACACAAAAATGTTTACCAAATTCTTTTAATGCATGGATTTTTTAGAGTTGCATATACACATCGATTTCAATCTGGACATTTAAATACAGGATATAAAAATAATACTTGAGGTACACTCCTAGTATTTGGCATGAGATGTATGGTGATTATAATCATGTCTATGAAAGTTTCAGTGCTTAAATCAGCTTTGCAGTTATTGCCTTTGCATGTACCCTTTATAGAATATTAAATTTTTAATTTAAATTGGTTGACCACTAAAAATTGGAGGGGTTATGGTAGATAAACTTTTATGCATTTGTTTCCTATCATTTTTAGAATTAAGTTTCTCAAATTTGTCTCTACAGGTTTCTTTCCGACCCCACCCCACCCCATCAGATATGTAAATGGTCAATCTTGGAGCATATGTACATGAATGGTGTTTTTTTTTTAATAATCTGCTGATTTTAACATATTGTTTTATTCTTTCAGGGTAGTGTAAGAGTTTTAGTTGAGACATTAAAGCATGATCCACTTAAGTATGCAGATGTTAAAGTGGATTCGCTTGGTTTGTACAAAGCAGAGAAAAATGCTTTGAGAAAAGACCCAAAAGATTACCTAGGTAAATGTTACTATTATGACTAACCCTTCCCCCCCTCCAATCTAATTAACTTATTCAATGCAATAATCTTTCTGGAAAACTTTTGCCCTTTAGAACCCTTTAAGGGTTAGAACACTGTCATAAAATCCAAGTACATGTATAAGAATAGGACGTCCTGCTAGCCCGTTCGCTTCGAAAATTGGAATTGAGATTTCTCTGCAAGTTTCGTAAAATGATGGCTGAAACTTTCTAGAAATGAAATTGAACCTGAACCTCACTGATCGCGGCATATTACACAGCATAACTGGGTGATTTTGTTGAGAAAACGAGTAAAATACTTACTGTCGCTAACGCTGCTTTTGGAGGCAGCCATGTTGTGTACGCCCTCAACATCAAAATATGTTCAAAGCTTGAGTTCTCGATGTCAAAACTAGCGGATTTCATTCCTGCAGCTAAGCTTTTCCTGACCAAGCTATGCTGCACGGTGTCAAAGCTGTGATTTTCATTAAAAACCTACACTTTCATTGGTACCCCTGAATAACAAAATGTAAATATACACTTACAGGATTTGTTTATATATTATATTTTTCAGTTTACCTGGCTGCAAAGGCAAAAGAGCAAAGCTTACCAGACATATCCACCAAAGTATTCAATGGAAAGTTTACAGCCAAACGTGGGAATGCAAGAAGTGATGAGAAGTACAAACTTGAGAAAATGTATTCCAAGAGTGGCTCCAGAAATTAACTATTAAAGGAAAAGTCAAGGCTAACAACATAATACTCCCAGAGAAAAGAGCTTGGCAAATGTAAGAACATGCAATTTACAGTTTTTGTATATCGCTTTATTCTCAAGATATTCAAATTTTCATCAATTTATGTAGTCCGCCATCTTGATTCTTCAGCAAAGGATTATGGGTAAAGTGTGACACCATAGAATCTGTTGTCAAAAATTGAGAAAATGATTTCATCTATAACTTCAAAAGTTGAACTTTAAATTGACTGAAAGCTTAGAACATGGTAGTATACATATAAAATAGTTGTCGTGGAAACAGAACTGAAAATATGTATTTTTATGTTTTTCTACCAAATGCCCAAATTTCCTTATATTGAATACAATTTACCCATGTGAGTATGTTATATAGGTGATATATTACCTGTTGACCACAAAAAGGGGCCTAAAAGTGTCATTCTATATATTTCACGACTAAAATAACAATTTTTAACATTTTTGGCATGTGTTAATCTAATATTTTTAGAAAGTTTATCACTATTGTATTCATTTATATTCATATATGAATAAATAAAAGTAAGGTACCGTAATCCTTTTTGTGTATTATTGTATTTATACAATGAAGGTGGATAAGTGACTGGGTATTAGAACCATGTTGATTTGGTTTTCTAATGTGAGATATTGCAATTCAACCTTGTTGACTGTGTCTTAGAATG